AAAAAGGGGGGGCGGGGGGGAAGCATGCCAGTGGTTGAAAAGGAGACAGAATGATATATGCACTCTGAATGAAAGGAAGAATCATTCCATTTATGTGAGCATGAAAAAAAAATCCATACACACATTATACAAGCTGAAACAAAGAACAAAGTTTTGGATGCACGTGCTTGTTTGGCAGCTGTCACCTCACAATTTTAGACGTCTCGTTTTTAGTGAGTCACACGTTCACATGACGAACCGACTCTTACTGCCAACAATGAAGTCAGTGTTGATTTGACACAAAACCACAAAGTGAGAAAATAGAGAAACAGGAAGAGAGACAAATCCCACACCTCCTCTGGATTATAAATAACGGCAACGGACCGATAGCACATGCATATGGCACGCTTCTCTGGATTCTGTCAGTCCCCTTTATGATTGAAAGAAGTTTTGTCGCTGCACAGATGTGATGCCCTCTACTGTAACAATGCAGACATAGCAGCCATATTTGCAGGCAACCCATTTCTGTATTTGAATGTCTTTGAAGCTCGGATTTGGTGTCAGCAATATTGACATTGAAATGAATTTGATCCAATGTCCACGAGTTCTCCTTTTTCCTCACTTCTATCTCAACTTCCACTTTCTTCTCATCCCTCTCTGGATGGCTTTGGTTTTTCAAGCTTGGTTACATCATTTTACTCTTGGTTCTAGCCCAAGCCACAGTTGAAGACTTCCAGATTCGACCTCATGCCCTTTATGTCCACTCCTACAAAGCCCCCACTTTCTGTGACTACTGCGGGGAGATGTTATGGGGTCTTGTTCGGCAGGGGCTTAAATGTGAAGGTTAGACACACACACACACACACACACACACACACACACACACACACACACACACACACACACACACACACACACACACAAATCAAATTTAATTTTAAAAAAAACTTTCTTTCATGGATTAGACCCTGAAATTCTGTTTACTGTACCGGTGACACGTTCAACATTTAGCTAATGGGAATGATGACTTCTTATTTTTTGATATTTTATCAACTCTCACGTTTGATTTTAGTTAAATATTTGTATATATATCTCAACATATGTAGCTGGTATTCAAACCAATTTATCAGTTGAGCCGTGTTGCAGCTGACTTACAAATCTCTGCCGTCCCACCGGCTATGTGTCACATTGTAACCATTCTGAGGTCCTTTTGTTTACTCATCAGGGTGTGGGCTAAACTACCACAAGCGCTGTGCCTTTAAGATTCCAAATAACTGTACTGGTGTGAGGAAGAGGCGATTGTCCAATGTCTCGCTGCCAGGACCGTCCCTCTCTGTACCTCGACCGGTACCTGCAGAGAATGCAGCGGTTATCTTGGATGAGGTCAGTTCCCTTTAGAAAGCTGCTTGGCATCACCATCTTGTGGATTTTTTTAACGCAGATAATAAATTAAATTTAAGTAGATTTGCATGTACTTGTGATGTGAATGAGGAGGAACAAATTTGCCTGAGTGCACAAAACGAACTGTATATCATGATTTCATGATCTTAACTGGAATGAAATCCAGTTCAATTCCTCCAGAATTGATCGTTGATTATCCATTGTTTTCCTCTGTCCCATACTCCTCCAACTTGCTCTTCTTCCATGCTTTCCCTTTCTCGTGCATCCACTTCAGCAGCAGCAGCAGAGGTCCCATCAAGAAGCGGGGAAGCGAATCCTGTCCTGGAGTGGCAGGCCTATCTGGATGGAGAAGATGGTGCTCGGTCGGGTTAAGGTTCCTCACACCTTTGCCATTCACACCTACACTCGACCCACTATCTGCCAGTACTGCAAGCGCCTGCTCAAGGGAATCTTTCGTCAGGGAATGCAGTGTAAAGGTATGGACAAAAGTATGGACAAGTATGGACAAAATATATCGTACTCCGCATGGTTTTCTCCACCAGTGACAATGCGGTTGTTTTTTTCGAATTCCTTCTACCAGATTGCAGATTTAACTGCCATAAGCGGTGTGCTTCAAAGGTACCAAGAGACTGTTTGGGTGAGGTGGATTTCAACGGAGGTAAGTTCTAAATCACATCACATCCGTTTGCATTGGAGGTATTTCCCTGAAATATCTCAAATATGCGCAACCTACACATGCAGAGCCAGCGAGCCCTGGCCCGGAGTCAGACACGCCTCTGGATACAATGGAAGTAGACAGCAGTGACATGGAAGGCAGCAGAGGGCTGGATGACCCTGAGGAACTCTCTACTCCGGAGGAGAGGTTGTTCGACATGGACTCCTCCTTCTTGGACCGAGAGAAAGATGAGGAGCCCATTAAGACCATTAGGTATGGGGATGTTATCCTAATATTTCGAATTTCTCCATTGTGAGACAAATAAAGGTTTTCTTTTCTTATCTTATATTGCACTGTCGCTGCTTTTTGCCACAGTTTGACTAAGTGATCAAATATACCTTTCAAAGTGATTGTGCTTGAATTTAGCCCCTCCACAAGCACCAACATCCCACTGATGCGGGTGGTCCAGTCCATCAAGCACACTAAGAGGCGGAGTTCCACTGTGGTGAAGGAGGGCTGGATGGTTCATTTTACCAGCAGAGACAACTTGGTAAGAGTGACAACTGACAGCTTCCATTTAGTTGTGCACGCAGGAGGAGCGAAAGCGTTTTTCCCTCAAGAATTAGTGTGACGTATGAGTGTTTGGTGATCTTGTTGGTGAGAGCTCTGTTTTTCCTCATATGCTCACTTGGGGTTTTGCTCTCTTTTGGACAGAGGAAGAGACATTACTGGCGGCTGGACAGCAAAAGTCTGAGTCTCTTTCAGAACGACACAGGAGCCAAGTTCTATAAAGTAAGCAAAATCGATCATGTTGAAGAAAGATTTATTTTGTTCCACCTCAATCCAAATACATTGCTTAACATGAGTATGTTGTTTAAAAAAAAAGGTAAGCTTTTTTTTTCCATTTCTTTTTTTTTTTTTTAACCCATTTATTTTTGTAAAATATTTTTTCCATTGACACCTCTTATTTACAATCAAATATCAACACTCGGGAGTATGGTGTAGTACAGCTTGCCATCGAAAAACCTTGTTTCTCCAAGGAAAAAGAAGGCTTCCAAAACGTTTCGCCTGTAATCATCAATCTAACTCGTCTGTTGTTCAATATAATTTCAGACCGGTTCATGCAAACTCATTTGTAGAGGTCATAATGCTATTTTTCCATGAAGTCCATGTTATGGTATACTTTCATAGCTTTTACTTTTACTTGATCTTGCACTTGTGGCCATTTTCAAACTATCATTTGAATATTTACTGCTCCCCTTTTGAAAGTTATGCAAATATCGCCAAAAGACAGCGGAGAGCTGGGTGACTAAGCTGCAGGGCGTTTTTGAACCATAAGGAGGTCAGTTCGGCCCCTTGAAATGTCCCAGGTTTTTAGTCTTATAATATTAACAGCAATTATCAAGTAAAAACGAGAGTCAGCCTTTCATTAAAATGATGTCAATCAGCATTCTCTATGTGTCTTGTATTGTGTCTTTTTACCATTAATATTACTTGATGTCAAAAGTCAAATGGTCCTGATCATTGAATCTTTCAATCAAGCTCTATTTTATTTTATTTTTTTTAAGCGTGAAAAGCAATTGCGGGGCACTTCCTGGGCCACACTTGGTCATTACAGCACCACAAGAGCTTAATAACCTGGTCATTACCTACTGAGAACTGAGTGAGGGAGCTGCAAGATAAACACTTCCACATGTGTTGATGGTTGTCTGTAGGGTGTCTGGGATGTTTTTATTTTATTGCTTGTGTCACACTGTATGTTTTAAGATGGCTCCTTCCGATGGTGAGTATTACGGTGCTCTAGTGCAGCGTTTCCCAACCATTTTACATTGGAAAAATGTCATCCAAATACATGTTTTGAAAAATCGAAACACAATAATAATAATAATAATAATAATAATTGTACAGCAATGAGTGGGGCACATACTGGTAAGCCGATTGTATCTCCTGCCATCGAAGGGAAGGTCATAATATTATTATGCCTGTCACTATAGGTTGCTGACAATGATAGATGAGCAAATATGCAATTTTTTTTTTATTTTGTAAATGAATAATAATCTCTCATTTGATGGATTTCCTCCTCATATCATATCATTTGAGGATAGATGAGCAAATATGCAATTTTTTTTTATTTTGTAAATGAATAATAATCTCGAATTTGATGGATTTCCTCCTCATATCATATCATTTGAAGGCTATTAAACATGAACGATCACCAAACAGACCCTTAAGACGGGCCTGGGATTGGTTTCTAGACTGATGTGACCAAACCTGCAACCTTATTTTATTGCGCATTTTTATAGAAGTTCAACTGAACTACGGGAAACAAAAACACACTTTGTTTGTAGCTAACCATTATCTCTGAAAAAGAGGAACAAAAAATAATAAAGTGGCATATGACTGTGCATTCTGTCAACAACGTGGATGTATTCTCTCGACAATGTATGGCTGTGCAATCAGTACAGTATACTCTACATTGAAAGGGTGGGACCGGAAATGACTTGGACTGACTCGGTTCCTGTGAAAGGGTTAACGGCACGTTAAACGTGAAATGAAATTTGGACGATGTTTTTTGGTCATCGAAAAGACAGTCTACCGGTAATTTGAACCGCAAGTGGCAGTGGATCAATTTAGCACTTGTTTTTAATTCTGTTACCTCATATGCCAACATGAATGTCAAAATATTAGCTCTTGGTCAGTTGCACTGTAAGCTGGAACCTACATAATAAACATAATGCTAAATTAATACATTCCTGGTAGTGCCAGTCACAACTCATAACCAAGCATTGTGTAAGCAATTTTTTAGGCAGCTTGGAATGACATACTTACTGGCATTGTGTCTAACCATGCAATTGTAATTGTAATATTTTTTTATGAATAGGTTTGAAGTTTGCAGTGGTGTAGAACTGCACTGCATAACTAAAATATGAAAACAAATGCAAATTTTCGCAAGTCATACACCAAAATGCCGCCCTCAAAACAAAGATTTATATGATATAATTGTCCATGTCAGTTCAAAGTAAGCATTGTGATAGGAATACTTTTGGATACAGCTTGCGTGTTGGATCTCATTAGGTTGTGAGTGTGTTGGGGTCGGCGACTGTAGATTTAACATGCTTTTTCAGAGGTACACACAGAGGTTCTCCAGATATTCAAGTTGTATATCTTGAGTGTAGTCCTGTAATTTTACTGAAATCCCTTATGCTGTTGCTCGTCAGTCTGTGGCCACTGTCCTCCCCTCGCTTTGCTCTATACTTCCAATTTGATTAGTGGCGGTCGCGCGGCGGCTCACTCGCCAGGCACGGCTACCATTTTCCCCATTTGGAAGCCATAACGGTCCCGCGTTTGATGAGATGAGACCCCTGTACTTGTGGTTTTTGCTTTTATTGAGTAAAGGGGCTTCTCTCTTTCTCTGCTGGATTGACTCCTGTCACAGTCCAACGCAGAAGCACCCACCCACCCGCTAATGCCCCACCCTTCCGAACAGTACTTGCAGCGTCTTTCGTCTGTCTCGGTGGCTCGTGGTAGCGCCAGTGGCTCGTGCTCAGATGGGGCCTCCGACTGGCTCTGCCTTGTAATCAGGGGAACAGAGCGCTTCAACCCGCCACAGGGCCCGATCACGTGACTCGGCCCCGCTAACCGCGAGCACTTCATCCGATACTCTGTGGTGAGCCACGCGGAAGGGGACAGCATGTGCCTCCGCAAGTGCAGATTGGTTAAACCTCTCAGGGGTTTTTATCATTTGACCCTCCCTCCCCACTTTGATTTGACAGTGAATGTGGAGGGGATGGGCGGGGGGGGGGGCTTTTAAAGTTTACTCCAACTGTTGTGTGTTCATAAGAAAGAGAGGGTGAGGAGAAGTTAGCATTGGGACTACACCGGACAACTCATGAGACCCAGTGGAGTGTGTGAGTTGACAGCCTTTATTTCATATTGTTTCAACCTCAAATGTCTCTCTCTGTATGCCTCGTTGCTTGAGCAATTTTATCTTCCAGTAGGATTGTCTTTTCAATGTGACTGCACTAACTGAGAAGCCGGCACCAAAACATTGCCTTCACAATTTCATTCCATTGTCCTGACAGCATTTATTTATGCGTCTACGTGTTTGACAGAATGATTTCCAATGTGATTTTGTTTCAAGAAAAAAGTTTGCCATAAATTGGCTGCATACCACCTTGACAACACAGCATAAATTTTGTAGTCGGGTTACATACAGTACCGGTACACGCTACATTAGTTGCCAAAGTTTTTGCTGTCTCTCTTGTAGGAGATCCCCCTGTCTGAGATTCTCCAGGTGGAGCAGTGCAGAGATTACAATAATCTGGCCCAGGGAAGCAACCCACACTGCTTTGAGATTATCACAGCGACCATGGTCTACTATGTTGGGGAGAACAATAGCAATCACTACCATAGCCCTGTTCTGGCTGCCTCAGGAGTTGGCGTGGAGGTGGCTCAAGGCTGGGAGAAGGCCATCAGACAGGCCCTGATGCCGGTCACACCTCAGCCTAGTGTGGCAAGCGCTGCAGGCCCGGGCAAAGATCATCGTAAGTTTAACCTGCAGTTTGCAAGATGAGGGATTCTTTTCATACGCAGCATTTTTCTTCTCAAACTTTGGACGGCAGAATCGCTGAAAGAGACTTCATACGCTGCTTGTAACGTAGAATGAGTTTTTCCAGGACCTTTCATTTATCTGACTAGAAACCATCTTGTCATTGAATGACATCATTCCAAATCAAATATTGTCTTCCAGGATTGCAACAGCAACCTAACGCTCATTAAATACTCACCCCGTTCTGCTCTCTTGCTTTTCCTATGTTGAGTTTCCAAAATCCTCTGTTATGAAGCGGTGCATACTTGCACCATTCAGTCACACTGTCGAAAGCCAGTTCGTTGCATAATAAATCGCCTCATTGTGAAGATCTGTGACTTTCTTCATGCAGCTGAGATAAACTTGAAGAAGCTATGTGAGCGATGTACTGTAGGTCTGCTTGTAATTACAGTACTTAAGGATCAGGTGACTGCATCAGTTACCAATGTGTTTTCCCCCTCCAGGAGAGCTGTCCATCAGCATATCTGTGTCCAACTGCCAAATTCAAGAGAATGTGGTGAGGTTTTTTTTTTTTGGTTTGTTTTTTTTTTTGTTTTCCAAAGTACAGTGCTTACTGTGTTGTTGAACCTGCATTCAAGCATCCACTCATGTGCTATTTAAAATATCAGAAATTTATCCAAAGCTTTCATTGAACTTGCCCTTTTCTCAAGCTTGTTCTTCAGGACTTAAGTCTCACTTTTATGTGGACATTTACGGTACAAGTAGGACGATTTCAAATCTGGCCATGTTGTACATGGTGCATTTAGTGGATACTCATTTGCAAAGAAATGCTGCCAACAGTTGAAAAGTCCTCATTGCGCTATGACATTTATCTGGTCTACTTATGGTTAAATTGGGTTTAAGGTTTCCCTTTTCCTAAACAATGGTCTTTTTTTGAGGGGTGAGGGGTGGGTGAAGAGAAAAACTCTTACCTGGCTGACAGCTTGAGCTGTCGCTTCAGCCTTCATCGAAGCTGTCAGTGCAACCGGGTAATTTTTTTGTTACTTCTTCAACAGGATATTGCCTCCGTGTACCAAATATTCTCAGATGAAGTGCTGGGATCAGGACAGTTTGGAATTGTGTATGGAGGTATGTCTGGTGTGCAATTTCCAAAGAAGGAGCAATCCATATAGACAGCATTTAATTGATTAATTTATATGCGTTTTGGGGGGTAATTTAGGTAAACACAGAAAGAGTGGCAGAGATGTGGCCATAAAGGTTATTGACAAGATGAGATTTCCTACCAAGCAAGAGAGCCAGCTGAGAAATGAGGTGGCCATATTGCAGGTGAATGTCTACAATAATATCGTTGGTTCTTTGTCAATCGATTTAAACTCATTATGGTGTGTCTGTGTGTCTGCTCTGTCTTCAGAATCTGCATCATCCCGGCATTGTCAACCTGGAATGCATGTTTGAGACACCGGAGCGGGTCTTTGTTGTGATGGAGAAGCTGCATGGCGACATGCTGGAAATGATCCTGTCTAGTGAGAAGAGCAAGTTGCCTGAACGAATCACCAAGTTTTTAGTTACACAGGTTTGTTCTGCAGCAATCGTTTTCTCTCTAAAATCCTGAGATTCCTTTACGCGTTCATGTCCTCAGGATTCCAGTCTTCATTGGATGTTTCAGAATCAAATGGCAGGAGCCTCAATTGTTTCTTGGATATCATGAATACGGTGGAGTTTTTTTTTTTTTTTTTCGTAAAGTGGTTCTGCAAACACTCTTGCATTTTGGTGTTTATTGTCTATCATGGTCTCCCTGTCTCTGTACTCTCGCCTCTGTCGGTGGTTTGTGTTATCCCACTGCACATAAGCCTCTACTGAGACTCCAGGCCTGTTGATTCTTGTAGTGAGCTGATTGTGGAGGTGGGGAGGGCGGGGGCGGGGGTTGTTTATGGGGAATAGTCAGCGTGGCATCAGGGCCTTCTCCCTAGCTGAGGATTACTGGCTGCTGTGTGCGGTGGGTTTGTGGTCTGATTAGAAGAAGAGTGGGCTCCTGGGCCTCAATGAACCCTGGAACAGAAGCAGCCTCATTAACAACAACCTCATTAGCTATGGCAAGCTTGGCTCTGATGTGGCCAGGAGAACGTTTGTCATAGCCAGTCAGCTTTGAGGAGATTGCAATGCGTGTTGTGGTTTTGGTCGCGGCCCACAAAGAAACATGCATTGGGGGGGGGGCAACTCGCGAGTCGAGATCTGATGATGACATGAAAAATTGTGAGGTACGGGATTCAACTATTCATGGTCATTACTTTGCCAATACAGTGATCCCTCACTTATTGCGGTTAATGGGGACGAGACCCCTGAAAGAGGGAAATCCACGAAGTAGGTGACATGTACAGGTATATGTACATGTGTATGAGTATATATTATATTTATATGGCCAAATTTAATGGTATACATGCGTGTAGAAGTCAATGTTTGTAGTAATTAACATTACTTAGTGCTATATACCAGGGGTGTCAAACCCATTTTCGTCGCGGGCCATATTTTAGTTACCATTTCCCTTGGAGGGCCATTATGAAATCAAATAAAGAAGTCAAGAATAACAGTTTATTCAACTGTTGTTTAAGTTACTGTAATGAGGTGTTTAGCAACAAGAAAATGCTTACAATGGCTCTCTTATTTATTACATAGGAGAATTTGAAATGTTGGTACATATTTTAGCAAGCATCATGGAAGTTGCCATGTTTGATTTGCTTTTGCGGGCCACATAAAATGGTGTGGCGGGCCAGATCTGGCCCCCGGGCCTTGACTTTGACACCTGTGCTATATACTAATATATATATTTACATGTATAAGATGTATAAGTTAGGTGAGTGTATAAATAACAAAATACAGTAAATAAACATGAAATATACATGTAGTACTGTATATGTTGCTCTATGTGACTCTTGTTTTGCTGACTTTCGCTGCCTCTTGTGGACCTTTTGCGGCATTTTCGCTACTTTTTTTTTCTGATGAATACTTTTGAAAAATCCGCGATGCACTGAAACCACGATAAGTGAACCGCGAAGTAGCGAGGGATCACTGTACTTTACTTTAATATGGCAATACCTAAAGTAGTGCAAATCTGACAATACCACAGGACATAATCTGGAATTTTCCTCTTGGAGGTTTGTATTTATGTATTTGTTTATTTATTTATTTTTGTTCCCTTTGTTTGCCGTAGATTCTGGTGGCCTTGCGACATCTGCACTTCAAAAACATAGTTCACTGTGACCTGAAGCCCGAGAATGTGCTGTTGGCCTCTGCCGAACCCTTTCCTCAGGTAAAAGACAAAGGTTTTGCGTCAACATGGACGCTGTTTTTGAACAGGCGTTTTGCGCAAAGGCAAACTTCTCTTCCATCCTCCAGGTCAAGCTGTGTGACTTTGGATTCGCCCGCATCATTGGTGAGAAGTCTTTCCGCCGATCGGTGGTGGGCACTCCAGCTTACCTGGCTCCAGAAGTCCTACGTAGTAAAGGCTACAATCGCTCGTTAGACATGTGGTCTGTGGGAGTTATTGTGTACGTCAGTTTGAGCGGGACGTTCCCTTTCAATGAGGACGAGGACATCAACGACCAGATTCAGAATGCTGCCTTCATGTACCCCCCTACGCCCTGGAAGGACATCTCAGCAGAAGGTAAATGGAGTCGCTCTTCACCTTGGCTGAGTGCCAGAATCATCCTCAGACACCATCTTAAGCGCCTACGTGTCTGAACGTGTGCTGCCGTCAAGTTGATATGAATCACTGTCAAATTTCCCACACCCATCGAAGCGACTGCCCTCCTACGCACTTAGTTGAATTGACAGGTAAAACAAATTTTACTCAAACAGCGATGGCTTTCTAAAAGTCGGTGCGCTGAGCTGCATGTTCAGTCATTGTTTACTTCATATGCTTACTTTCTGTTTACCTTAACTTGCAAACCGTAGTTCCATGGAAAAGCTGGGCTTTGATTGGCTGTTGTCACGCACACTTCCGCCGCGTCTGATTGAGTAAATATGCTCACAACTCGCTCGCAGCTGGCCGCCATATCATCACGATTCTCGATCAGTTCATATGAATATTAAGATCCGGCACTTTTAAGAGTGCAGTTGAAAACCGTGAGCCCGCGGCATACAGATCAATGTTTGATATGTTTTGCGATGCACTCATGGTCTAAACATTCATGGTCACAGCCACAGATCTGATCAATAATCTTCTCCAAGTGAAGATGAGGAAGAGGTATAGCGTCGACAAGTGTCTCAGCCATCCTTGGTTGCAGGTGACTTCAATATTGATATCCATATGACTTGAAATAATATATTTCCATTGTTTTTGACTTTGCTGACAAACTTGTTTTTCCCATCAGGACTATCACACATGGTTGGACCTCAGGGACTTTGAGACGCGGCAAGGCGAACGCTACATCACCCACGAGAGCGACGACGCACGCTGGGAGGAGTACGCAGACGAGCACAGTCTTGCTTACCCCAAACACTTCATCATGGCACCCAACCTGGATGACATGGACGAGGATCCCTAGTGGCGCAGAGGACTTCAGGAAGATCAGATGGGACTTTATGCGTCAAACTATGGGAATTGTGAGGATAAACTGTTTGCTGTGGAAACAGAGAAAAACTCGGGATGTGTGGGGGAACCCAAGTTTGTAGCATGCCGCACTGCTACAAATCGTAAACTGAGGATGGGCGGATGGGCTGAAAAACACAGAAACTGAGGAAGGCAAGCTTTCTACTTTGTGCGGCATCCCAACACATTCCATGGATGTAAGGACAATCGTACCAAGATAAACTTGATTGTTTCATTGTTTCATTCAGTTGTGGTTCGTTTTCAGTAATAATATGGTTGTGTTCTGTGTGTGTGTGTGTGTGTGTGTGTGTGTGTGTGTGTGTGTGTGTGTGTGTGTGAGAGAGAGAGAGAGAGAGAGAGAGAGAGAGAGCGATATGTGTGTGTGTGTGTGTGTTTGCGTGAGAAGAGGTCGATAGAGAAACGTTGAGTTTATCCCAGGAGTAAAGGACACTTTTCACAAGGGATTTGGGCTCTGAGAATTTATTCAAACATACTGTAATTTCTCATTTCCAAATGGTTTGTGAGACTGTCCTTTGGCATGAAACTGGAACAATCACCTATGTTTTTTTTTTGGGGCGGGGGGTTGTATATTGTTTTAATGTATTTAGTAATTGTGATAGTGTTTTGCACTATATTCCTTTGAACATTCCGATGGAACAGAAACTCCATTTGCTGCTACAGAAGGCGTGTCTGGTCTCGGTGCACAGTGTTCAATAGAGATAAAGCGTGAGAAGTAGCCGGAGTTCACTAATGGCTGATGTATGCTTGGATTTTCTGAACGTATGTGATCTGATATCTCGCCTTTAAAAAAAATATCTACATGCAAAGGCCTTGTGGAGTACTTTAAACCCATAAGCCTAATCAGTCAGTACATTCGGTGTCACAGCAATTCCATTTTTTTAGTTCAGTGTTGGACTGAAACCAGCAATGTGAGCATTGTATTCACGTATATTAGTTGAAGTGGAACTTTGTAGGCATCCATTTGTGGAATGTGATTTTCGAATTTTTTAAAATTGTTTTAATTCTTGGTGGCTAACTGAAGTATTATGAAGAGCAGAGGTGCCACATAGAACAAAACTGCCCGTTCCATGTGCAAACTAATTATAATGTGTGACGTCTGAGTTTTTTTTTTCCTTTTAGTACCATATTGAAGAGTTCACTTATGGCAATTACGTTTACAGCAGTTATGTTGTTAATTCTGCTGTTGTGATTTGGGAGTACATTCCAGTTTTCCTTAAATCTTTTTCATCTTTGTTGCCGCTGGATTGGCAGGTGTTTTTTTTTACATTTCTATGCATACCATTGGAAAATAAAGACCACACTTCTTAACTGAGAAGGAAAATTAACAAAGTTCTTAACATCTCATTGCCATGCGCCCGTCCGTCTGATCTGACTTGACACTATAATGAATAACATTGGATTTATTGTGTCATGCAAGCATCAAAATAAAAAGCCATTTGATATTTTCCTCACCTGGCCAATCGGACATATCAGGGTTATGTTGTATACAGTATTATCATTAACGCTTTCATGCACCCTGTAACCTGATAACATGATAAGATGTCCACTGTACTAACCGCTGTCCCTGAAAGGGTTAAATATACTTAAAACATTATAAACTGTAAACTACAAAAGAAAATGAAACTCACTTTCCATGTCACACATGCATGGGTAAGCGCCGTCATAAACCGCTCTGGCTTGCAGCTTTGTCGTTGTATTTAAATTGCATCCTAGTGACTGAAGAGTTGTGGTATTTTCATGTCACAGGTCTTTGAACAGATGGATGTGATTCTGGGCCCGTCTCCTACCGCAAGGGAATAATGACATGGTGAAAGAGGGTGACTGCAATGTGGGGGTTTGTGGGGTCTTTGAAATCATTCATGATAAATGCTATCATGGAACCCCTTCAAGTATCAAATGGACATCCAACTGCTGCAGTAAGAAATTACAGAGATTTAGACAGTTATGATTAATCTGCTTAACTTTTTTATTTCTCTTCTGATGGTTTCTGCACCGAGATACTGGCTGACCACTAAATGCAGCGAATGCTACTCATACGAACCACGGATGGGAAATTGAGGAGAAAAGAAAAGTTATTTTTCTCTTCAGTGGCGATCCAATACCATCCTCCTTTATCTGCTCGCTTGAATTCTTTCAAGATGTGAACTTTGGTGGCCAACTGACCCCATTAACCCCGGGAGGGCGGGTGGGGGCAGTTTCTTGACTTAAACACCAAAACGTCCTACTTTGACTCAGCTTGCACATTCAATTCAAAACGCATACTGTCCAACTAAAAATATCAGGTAATTTTCATGCCGTCAAATAACACATTGGGAGTGGGTGGGCCTTTGTAGTTATTGAGGTGTGAACACAATCATGGAGGAAATAGAGAGGAATGTCTCCCCCCTCTGGCTGGACAGACTCGTTCAACAGTCAGATGCACTGCAGTTACGTTGAACATGTTAGTGTTCATTTATTGTGTACATGATCATCACTCGGTTATTTCTTGCATTACATTAAAAAAGCCTAATGTTTATAAATAGCCAATACTGTATCCACATTGCACATATTTCTGTATTATTATTATTATCATCATCGAGCGCATTTTGTAATGCTCTTCCGCATGATGTCCACGGGCGAGCCTGATGCTGACTCTGGGCAAGAGGCAGGTCACACCTTGGACTGGTTGTCAGCCATTGCAGAGCACATATTTACAAAAAAATAATTTAGACTCACGTCAACACCTGTGGGTGAACCGAACAACCTTTTGGGGCAGTGGTAGGGAACTATGGTGATCAGCTCATCAGCAAGCTCTGGAGGAGCCTGCAACGATCATGAACAATTAAATCAGGTGTGTTGAAGTAGGGAGGGATCTAAAATAGGCAGGATATGGCTCTCGAGGATCCAGAGTTCCTGACCCCTGTTTTGGGGGGGCGGGAACATTGAAGGAAACAAATGCCTGAGCTAAGATTCAAACTCTGAATCTCAGAATGGCGAATCAGATTTGATACCCATGATTACTTGGCATGTACTGTGTGTGCGTGCGTGCGTATGTGTGTGTACAGACGTACACACGTACCTGGCATGAAAATGTAAATCTTCGCCTTCAGATTTTTATATATTTAGACTTGTATTGCAGCAATGGGGAAATTCAAGCTGTTCTGAAATACAGTACCTGAAGAGTATTTCTTTGAAACACCACAGTATTATTTTTTCCTGCCAGAAGGTGTCAGGCTTGTAAGTTATTTGCCACTGAACATTATACAGCACCGTAGTGGAATGACCCTAACACTCTGAGCTCCCTGAAAAAAAAAAAAAATGGAAACATAATGATTTTTTTAAATTATATATTAATATTGATTGTCAAGACTTTTGCTGTGTTTAACATCTGAAATACCTTTTGGACACTCCACCGGAATGCTTTTCAGATTGCATTGCACACAGTTGCACAGCATGTGTGACAGATTCCTAATCGGTGCCCATTAAGGGAGACTTTGCCATCATATGAATGTCAGAAATAACATCTGCTGATGGATCACGGACCGTTTGATCTCGAGGTCTTGCTGTATTTGTTGAATGGCTTGCCTGGATGGTAGCTTCTCGGCAGGTCTCTTGTCACCTCACGGGGGAGGTCTGCGTGTCACACGTCCTCATCCGACCCCCTACCCTAGCCTTTCTCTCGGTCCGCTGTGTCTTTCCCTTCCTCGCTTAATGCTCCATGCCGGGTATCCATGAGCTCCAGACCAAACAAGCAAACAAACAGAACAACAGAAAAGCCCATCACCCAGACAAGGTTGGTGTAGGAGAAATGAGAAGAGATTTTGTTTGCTTTCTCCGCCGGTTCCATTTCACTGTGATGGCAGAGGAGGCCTCCCAGGACGAAGCTATCCACGTTTGTGTTTGACTTCCAGGGAGATCAAGGTGGTCTTCAGTTCTGACACATCATCTCTTCACCTAATACACAACTGACTGCAGCCTCATTCAACCAATTTATTCATTCTTTTCATCCCAGTGACTTGCTGTCAATGCTGTCATTCCATCCTGCTTCTGATAGAAACCACGCACACTTATCCACTACACTACTGTTGCATATTCGGTATTTTTAAAGCCCAGAAAAAACAAAAACCACAGACTCATAAAAGGTATCTCAAGTTTGTGGACACAAAATGACAAGATTTAACATTTAGGGATCTTTCGCACTCACACCCTTTGAGTCCATTTTACTTTATTTCATGTTTGTTTTCTAAATTTGAATCCTATTTGCAATTAAAACCAGTTTCAGACCACATCTGACCACACTGGTCACAAACAAATGAATGTGCCAACTTTGATCTGATCCCATTTGCAATTGCCCCAGCTACACCATCACTGACAAATGACAACATTTGCAGTTGCTTTTGCAGTATGTTTTGGATCATGATCCATCTACACACATAATGCTCTCCGTTTGTAGCATTTGGTCGAGCCCTCCCCACCAGGGATGTGACAGGGTGTGGTCTGGCACCTGCTCAGTTTCCCCCCTTTGATGCCCAAAGTGTCCTTTTATCTTTTTTATTTATTTATTTTTTCTTGTATGTACTTGTATGTGAAAGCCTGTCTGTGGCCTTTCAACAGTAAAATTTGACATACAGTCATCCAAAATAAATGATTAAGATGAACAAATTTAGGAATCAATGAAGTAATATCATGGGGGGGGGGGGAGTAATGGGACAGAAGCGCTTTAAAAGGACGGGGACGGAGGATGATTATGATATGACTTAGGATGGAGGAATGATGATGGACGGGTACTCAGGTCGCGAACAGAGGACGAGGAAAATTCTCTTTTTATGTGTCCATTTTACACTAAACTTCAACAGGGAGTGACAAAGTAAGACAATTTCCCTTTTATTTGGAGAACTGTGCAAACAAGAGTCATCGTCTTTTCTTCCCCACAATGTTCCCCATTTCTTGACAGCGCATGAGAACCTAATGAATTTTTTTTTTAAGAAGTCTGTTGTAATCATTTTAAATGTGTTAGAAGCATGGATGCAAATAAGAAGAAATCTTTTCACATGGGCTTGCTCAATGGCTGATTTTCAGCTCTCGCTGGTGGGTCTGGAGTCCATAACGCTGCTATAAACAGGGTTTCTCTGGAATGCATTTTTGCTTAATTTGTCTCAGAAATTTTTAAAAAATTGTCTACGTTTACAAACCCATCAAGTGATTTAGACGAGAAGAAGCGAACTTGAGGTGTTG